TTTTTTTAGTGATAGCAATTGTTGAATCATTTTTAATTAATTCCAGCAGATTTTATTTAAATTGTCCTTTGTACAAAGTCAGGTTTTTATCATAATGGTGTTTTTACCCATGGCTGATTTATTTCATAATGACACTTTAAAACTTAATAACTTAATAACTGGGAGATTTGCCCAGTGCAGTGAGCCAAACAGGGTAGGAACGCCTCAGCACAGAAGGACAGGTTTAGGTGAGTGTGTGGAGGGGAGGGGGCAACATTACAAAACTATGGGGCATTGGTAGCCAGTAGAGGCTTTTAAATTCAGAAATAAAATGAAAATATAAATACTGTAAATAAAACCATGACAGAAAGGCACTTTTTTATCCAATCGAAAGAGAGCAGGTGCTCTAGCACCTCCTAGTGTCGATCTGTGAATGTTTCTATGTGCTACTACTTAAATCACACATTAAAAAAAAAAAAAAGAAATTAAGTAAGATTTTATAATCCACAGTGCTCTGAAATAAACTGACCTTCCACATCCTTTCCTCAGTGAAAATCTTAGTCTCAGCTGAATCGACTCTGTTCCAGGTGATAGCCAGCTCCAGATGCTTCTTCCAGGACTTATCTTCTTGTGATTCAGCAGTCTTGAAAGCTAAAATACACACTTACTACTAAATGTCTTCAGGATTCAACAGAACACACACTTATCAGCTTTTACTTCAGGAAAATAACAAGTTTAAGAACACAAAGTACTAAAATTGTTTTGGCTGAGAAAAACTGAAATCCCATAGACAAAAGTTGGTGTAGATGTCCTCAAGTAGCTCAGTAAGCAGAACAATTATCCAACGATATATAAACACAGAAGAAAATGTATTAATGGAAACTTGAGACTAAGCATTTCAAACAGTGGAATCATCATAATATGAGCATTAACAGGGTTCAGTGATGTAGACTCACTGTTTTAGTGCATGGAGCTTCTCCTAAGCAATATGCATTAAGTCCAAAATACAGCAGATCCATTTTGGAAACTGATCTGATGAACAATCGGGTTGGATAATGTAAAAAAAAAAAAAACTAGAACACGTTAAAATCAATGGGGCCTCACAGACCGCTATTATGGTCTGAGCTTTGTTTCACAGAAATTTGAAGACAATGCCATGCATGAGACAGGAAATGAGACACAGAGGCAGATAAAAAAAAAAACATCCAATTTGGGTAAAGATACCAAGTTAAATCTTTTACTTGTGAAAAAAAATTTGTTTCGTTAGAAAGGGCAGGAGCTCAGAAGTACAGAAAAAGATGAAAGAGTGAAATGGTACATGCATCTCTAATGTTCTCTGATTAACACTTGAAGCCTTCCCAGCTGGATTTATGCCGAGGTTATAACCACATATGTGGTTCTAAAAATTGGATGACTTAAAAAATCAGTTGATAGCAGTGAGTTTTATTTTTGAGGTAATAAGAATATGTTCCACACTTTTCAGATTTATATTTGAAAATATAATGTAAAAATCATGTTTCGATTGCATTCCAAATAACAATAAAATACACTGTGGTCTGCAGTTGTAGCATAATATTTTAAATACATTTGTAATTCACAGTAGTTACCTTTCAAAAGAGCATCAAGGATTGCCACATCCAAAACCCCCTGATCATCTTTATTTGCTCTGAATATTGTCAGTAAATCAGACTTCTCGACTATCTTCTGAATCTGGAAACAGAGCAGACAAATGTATAAGACACATATTTGTGGGTTACCCCGCAAAGGCAGGTTTGGCTAGTTAGTTAGTTATTTTATACCTGAAGGGACAAAGTTGTACCAAGACATGCCTCTGCAGCCAATTAGGAAAATTCAACTGCATAAGAACCATTTGACCAAAGAGGCCAACAGTGAGATGCTTTTAGCCCAAATAATGCCAAACAGTATGACCCATAACAAAACCACCACAGTGTACCACCACATATCACGGACTGGAACATCATCACTTCACTAACCATATTTTTCCATGCTTCGATCTGGTCGTCTTTGATGTGTTTGTACTCTTCTCCAAAATACTTCTTAGTCAGCTCCTTGATGAGAGTGGTGGTGATACTATTGATTGGGAGTCCAGACACTTGAGCGATAACATCTGCTATCCTCCCAGAGCCCTGCAGGATCACGCACGGTGTGCCTTTTTCAATGGCATTGTAGATGGTCTGACAGGAGACAAAGATGAGAGCTCAGTTCACTAGAAACTCAAAGATTCAAAGAAGATTTTGGAATCTGTTGACTCACTTTGAGCGTACCTCCTCCTCCGTCCAACACCACACAAACCACTAGGGTTTTTATTGTAGTCGCTGGAGGGTAAACAATGAAAACAATTATTTTTTACAGTTATTAATAATTAGGGATCAAAGCCTGAGGAAGCCAAGACGACCAATGCAAAACATGGTAATTTTCCTGCCTTTCTGTAATTGTACATACTTTATTATTATTATTATTATTATTATTATTATTATTATTATTATTATTATTATTAATCTCCTTTAAACCTTCAGTTCCAAGAGCTTGGTCTGAGATGTATTGCTCTAGTTCCGTGCGCAGCGGGATCTCTGCACCATAGGCGTCTTTGTCACTGGTCCCATCATCAACCAGCAGGAAGTGGGAATGATTGTTATCAAGACAGGCCATATTACCCTGACCTTGTGTGTCAATCACATATTGAGCCGGGAAGCAACCCTGCAGCCAAACACAATGAAAAGTATGAAGGAAACATACAAATCTATTCACAGGAATAATGTGAAGCTCAAGTGTTCAACTTGCTTCTTCATTTACTAATTTATCCTTGTTGTGAATTACTCGCCATGGTGCCACTCCAATAGCCACTATTTTCCGCTTCATAGTGTTATTCAGGGCACAGTCCCTCACAGCCTGTCCCACATACATCATCACACCAGCGTTGGTACCGCCGGTGATGATCCACGCACCTACAGGTGATGAAGTATCACTGTGTGTGTTTCTGGCTGATATTAATCACACTTATCTTTATTTTTCTGTCTGTCTCACCTGTAGTCTGAGCAACTTTGATAAGTCCTCTGTGAAAAACCTTCTTTAGGTGGGACTTCAAATAGAAGTTCTTGGCTCCTCCAGTCACAGAAATGACCAGATTGGGAGGTGGAAGTTTCCACTGTTTTGTCAGTAACTCGTAGAGCACTTCAGGTTTGGTGTCTGTGAATACTCGTACATACTGGAAATGAGCAAACAAGAAGTGACATCAGAATGCACAGGTATACATTTACAGTGTCTTGTGAAAGTACTTATACCCAATGAGGTTTTCCAAAAAGATAATAATAATAATAATAATCTTATTGGAGTTTTATGCAGTATGCCAACACAAAGTAGCTTGTAATTGTGAAGTAGCAGGAAAATAATAGTTTTTCTATAAATTTCTTTGACAAAGAAAGAACAGAAATGTGTATTTACATACAGTGCATCTGGAAAGTATTCACTTTTTCCATATCTTGTTATATTACGGCCTTATGACAAATCATATTAAATTAATATTTTTCCTTCATATTCTACATATAAATACCCCATTATGACAATGTAACAAAGTTTTTAGGTTTCTTGTAAATATAATAAAAAATAAATAAATAAATAAATAAATAAATAAATAAATAAATAAATAAATAAATAAATCACTTTTGTGTAAGTATTTTATGGCCTTTGCCATGAAGCTTAAAATTAAGCTGCTCCCACTGGTAGTACTTGAAATGTTTCGACAGCTTAAACGGAGTCCACCTGTGGTAAATTCAGTTGATTGAACTTGATTTAGAAAGGCACACACGTCTATAAAAAGCCCCACATTTGACAGCGCAGGTCAGAGGTCAAACACCCCAAGCATTAAATCAAATGCTTGATTTAAGCATTTGATTAAATCAAGCTTAGAGACAGACCTCAGAGGTCTGTCTCTAAGGTCTCAGGACCTCAGAGACAGGATTGTCTTGAGGCACAAATCTTGGAGGTGATCAAGAACCCGATGGCCTCCAAATGGCTACCATCAAACCTGCTATACCGATTTTTGTTATAAATCGGTATAACAAAATTATTATACCGATTTAAATTATACCAATTTAAATTGGTATAATATTAATATACCAGGCACATACACAAAATGCTTAGAAGATAAAGGAACACTATTTCATTGTACTTGGGAATGAAGAGAAGTTGCTCTTTTTGGATGAAAACAACAGGACCAAATAAGCAATGGGTCAGACAAATGTTGCAGAGGTGTTATCATTCATACTGTGTATTGTGACATAATAATAACAATAATATAACCTTAGTGCTTAATATGAAATAGAATGACTTACCTTGCTACTCTTTTGACCACCAAATTTGATGACTCCAAAAGCATCTGTTGACACCTCGTGGACATGTTTGTCTTCGTTACAGGTACGCTTTTTGAAGTCCTCTGGCTTGCTGACTTTATCAGTGGAGTCAAGCTCCGAGTATCCACTACAACATCCTTCCTTATTACTGTAAAATAAAATACAAATTGCATAATTTCACATGCTTATGTTGGTAGAAGAAGTTTAGACATGTAGGTTATGCACTACGAGAAGGGTGTTATCATAGCATCTTTTATGGGAAAGGATACCAATCCTTTATTACCCTGATTTGCCTTTGCATTTCAGACTGTTGGACTGATCTTACTTCTCACCACTACATGTTCAAGCAGGTAAATTAACATCTAAGAAGTTAATGGAGTTTGGCTGTAAGCTTAAAAGATTGCCAGAACTGAACATTGTTAGAATTCATCACATATTTTAAACAAATAGATACGTTTTAGTTGCTTTTTTGACAACACAAAACACGACAGTTCTGTAGATGCTGGTGTTTCAGAGGACTTTAACTGGAAACACAGTAGACTCAAAATGAGAAATAACAGCAGTCAGTGAAGTTTCCTCTCAATATTTGTGAAATATTTGTGCAGAAACTAAAAGCACAGCTTAGTGGCAAATCATCCTACCTGCACCATTCCTTTTTTGTTATGTTGTTCTTGATCCACGTGGAAATTTGCTGGAAAGAAGAGGTAATAGACAAATGTTTAGATGCTGTTTTGATTGCCAGAGTATGAAACGACCATGAATGAATCTCATCTCGTCTGTTGAAAGGAATATACAATATAGACTGTGAATAATAACAACAATGAAAAGGTTTTTTTCAGACTGTTTTGTTGGAAAAGCATTCAATGTCCCCTTTTTCACCGAGTTATATTACAACTACAAGTTTCAATGAATTTATAGTTTGTTTTTTGTGAAAACAGAAAGTAGTGAATAACTTTGAAGTGAAAGAAAACATATGCATCATTTTTTTTAAATGTTTTCACACAAATGAATTTTTGAAAGCTTTGGCATGTATATGCATTTCCCTAAATAAAAATGAGTTTCTTCAGAGTTACATGTAAACAGCCCTAGAAACAATATAAAGCATGAAGTGCCAAAAAAACTAGCTTGATCACCAATCCTCAAAGGATATTATCAGATATCATCATTATATCATCAGATCTTTCTTTCATCGTGAAAGACGATAAAAGACTAGCCTTTGAGGTCTTTCGTCCTCAAAGAAGGAGGATCTCTTATTGACCCAAGAGAACCCAAGACAGTTCTCTAGGGTTGAGAACTGTTCAATAATGTTTTGGATAGTTCTCAACCCAATTTCAGTAGTTACTGCAGGGCTGACCCTATCAACCTGGGCGAGATTTTATGTAGCGGCTCTGAACTCCTGCAGGTCTCCCAATCAACCCTCCATTTTATATATAGATAAACTCAACATTTTTTTTTTTTTTTTGGTTTAGAAAAATAAATGTCAACCATACCACAAATTACCTATTAACTGAAACTATTGAAAATATTCACACCGGATTGCTCTGAACTTGTAGGTTGGAGGCAGAAGGAGAGCTCAGTGATGTTGCAGAAGGACCTGGGGTTTCATTTAAAGGTATTAATACATCTGAAAAGAAAAAGAGAAGCATGATTCCAGAAATAAAGTAAAAAACATGAGATGCGTTAGAATGTTTACTGTACTGTACAAGTAAAATACACAATGAATTTGCTGAAATGCAATTAATATCAGATTGAAATTATCACAGTGAAATTTTAATAGTATCTGTGACACACCAAAGCAAACCAGGAACAAGTCGCTTAGAATCTGTTCCAAAAAACAAGTTGCTTGTTCCTAGGACCACAATGTTTCTCCACATATAGCATAATGTGATACAGAACGCTGCTGCTTGTGTTCTCACTAAAACCAGGAAGATAGAGCACATCACCCCAGTTCTAAGGTCCCTACACTGGCTCCCTATAGCTCACAGAATTGACTTTAAAATACTGTTTTTAGTTTATAAAACGGCTTATCACCAAAATAGACTAAAGATCTGTTAATGTATAAACCTTCCAGACCTCTCTGGTCTTCTGGTTCTAGGCTACTCTGCATCCCCAGAACTACACATGGAAAAGCAGCATTCAGTTTCTATGCACCACAAATCTGAAACAAATTTTCAGAAAACACAAAGAAAGCAGAAATAGTTCCTTTAAATCAAGGCTAAAAACCCACCTGTTTAACGCTGCCTTTGGTTCATAATACCTGGAACATTTATCAACATATTTGATGTGCATTTGTTCGACGATTTGGATGCTAGAATTTTACAAAATGTAAAATCTACTGCTTGTTTCATGATTAGTGACTGTACTATGTGTTATAATGTAAAGCTCTTTGAACTTCCTTGTTGCCGAAATGTGATATACAAATGAACTTGAATTGACTTTCCAGTCATACATGTCGACACACAATGCTGGTGGTGGGGCTACAGGAAAGGGATGTAATAGAACAGCCTTTATCACAGTAAGGTATAATCAGGCTTCAGGACAACTTTCTGAAAGTTTTAGGACTGTTTTCTTGCTGATCTTGCTTGCAGAGTGCACACAAAAGTTTTCATTTCTGGGTATTTCACATCATTAGAATCCACACTTTTCGAATCTCTAAAAACTCAAAGTGCCCCAGGGAAGACTTGTGCCTGGTTTTGTCATGAGTAGTCTCATATAGGAATATAGTCATGATGCTAAGTTGACATTAATCTGTACTTATGTAATTGTTACGGTCACTAATCTCTAGGGGCTCTCTTCATGAGAGAGCGCTCTTCCTTTGTGTTTCATCTCAACCTGGCTGCCACAGCTGAAATGTGTTGGAGCTCATCAGCCACCCCATAAAGAGCTTCATGCTGGAGATGTCAGATCCCTTTTCTCCCTGGGCCTTGATCTGAAGTGATCTTGTCTGTGAGCTGACTGTTTGTGGGGACTTAAATGATCTTGCGGTGAGCATTTTGTGAATAATTAAGTGTCTAACTAAAGTAGTGTGTTTCTGTTCACAGTGGAAGCTGGTTGGGGTTCTCTGCCATTTTTGTTGTAAACAGTTTTCTCCTGTTTTGTGGTTAGCCAGGGAGTTCAGGATTTAATTTTCTTTCAGTTCTCCTTTAGAAAGTGGTTGTTTTATGTTATTGTTAAAAGGGGTATTTTTGTTTGTTTTGGCCTTGGAGACCATGAAGCTTTTTCCTGTGTCATCTGCCTCCTGTGATTGAGATTTTACCTATATCAATGTAAAATAAACTTTATTTTTTCTGCTCACTATCAATTGTTTAGATTACTGGTTTTGTGTTTCACCCAGTGCCAGAATTCACCTTATTGGTCTCTTGGAGAGGGATGGCAACAGTAATGAATTTGCACAACTGACTTGTTTTTACAAACCTACAGTCATTCTTCATTGCTTGAAGAAACTGGGATTTACTCAGTTTTCATCATCACTTTCTCAGCAGAGTAAAAGAAACCTCTTGCAAATATGTGAACAATTTCTCATTAGTTTGACACACATTACCCTCCGTTATCCAAAATAAGTGTCATTAAACCAGTCCAAAGTCAAATTTTCTCACTATCTAAACAGAAATCACCTGTTCCTAAGTATTAGAAACTACATAGATAAGTATGAAACCACTGAAGCACCTCTTTCACACTCCTTGACCGACTGCAAATTTTTAATTGGCATTTAAAAGGCGCCATGTTTGTGTTATTTACCAGCTTGGATGGAGGAGATCCCAGGCCGATGGGAATGAGAGTCAATATTGCATCATTTTTGTGTAACAGATATTATTTTCTTAATTTATTATTTTCTAATTGATTTTATTTTGGTTTACATTTACAGCATTTTCTGCTGTACAGAAAACACTGTAAATGTATTTCAGTTTTCAGCTCAGTTTGAAAAAATAAATACATAAATAAATGGATTCAACAAAACAACCTTCAAAGCATTGTGCATGATGGTGTGGGAGATGAGCGCACAACCCTTCTTCACAGGCCATCATAGGTTTAGGTCCCAGCCTGTTGACCTTTGATGCATGTCGTTCCCCTCTCTTACATCCTGTCAATTTATTCTCAGATAAAGGCTACCAGAGCTGAATTATCCCTACTCTAATTCCCCCTCCCCCCTTCCCCCCCCCCAAAAAAAAAAAAAAAAACCCAAAGGCAAAAGGCAGTTCCATCACATTGTCAGATTAGTTTTACTGTACCTTTGTTTTTTTCTTTCTTTCTTCCGATTTTCTTTGTTCCTCCTTGGGCATCAGACATTGTGGGAAGTTTTGACGCGATGCTTTCTGAAGCCACTTGCCTGATAAAACTTGTCCTCCCAGAGTGTAAGTTATACCTGAGAACAGTGAGGGGAGGGAGATGGAGTGATGTGTGGGATGCAGGTATACACCAAATAATAGAGAAATAGGGGGGAATAAGGCAAGATATTATTATTATTATTATTATTATTATTATTATTATTATTATTAGACGTGATATTTAGCATTAATTGTCATGCAGCTAAATACATACAGAATCTTTTATATCCGGAAATTACTTCTTTTTTTTTTATTTTGTCCCTTTTTTTGCTCAGGGCTGGCCAGTGGCATAGGTAGGCTTAGGGCAAAAGCAAATGCAACACTCCATGGGGTACCAAATACAGGGGCAAGAATTAAAAAAAAGAGTAACTTTCAGTATTCTTTTTAAGTCTTATGAGTAATATGATTTCCTAATATGATAGATTCTGCACTAATTTACTAATTTATATTAAATGCTCCATCTAATAATGATACTTTACCCCATCATTCTCTACTATTTGGTTTATTCCTACAGCCCACACACCTCTTACTCCTCCCATCACTGCTCTCAGGTATGTGTTGTTCTGACTGGGGGAACAAGTTGGGTGAGTGTTGTAAGGAAAGTGACTTCAGAAAGCATCATGTCAAAACATTTCAAATTGTCTGATGGCCAAGTAAGAAAAAACAGAAAAGCAGAAGAGAAAAAATCAGAATGCTTTTGTTATGGATATATGACTCTGCATTCTTGTTATATTCATTTTATCTGCTTACATGCACACGGGTGCACAATCATACACAATTAACAGTGATAATTATTGATGATTAATAATAATTAATAGTAAATCACTGCAGAACGTACAGTGAAAACTGTACATTCTGCACTTAAATAACAATAAGAGGTCCTCTTTCGACACTGATAATCAATGATAATCAAATCACAACCTGTGAAGTTTAATGATTTTTTTTAATCTTCAAGACACAAAAAGTTGCATTACTGTGTTACAGCTACCACATACATGTTTTGAATCTGTAAAATACACTCAAAACACCTTTCTCTGGTTGGGTTCACTTACTCACTCACTCGGTAATAGGTGAGCTATGCATGCGGGTGCAAGTTTACAACGAACACTTTTCATGAGAGTTTTCTCTGCGGTGTTGAGTTATGATCATTTCCTTGGAAGTGCTTCAGGCCTCTCACAGCTCATCTCTTCTGTCAAATGCCCACTTGCCTATGCTTGTGTAATTGGAAAATGTTATTCGTTGGATCCCAAATGCCATAACTAACATGCCTACATTCCAAGGTGTATACTTCTTTTTAACCTGCTGTGCGTCTAAGAATTCAACAGACCAAAGAGAGAGGAAGAATGCCAACAGATACTGATTTGGTTGAGTTGTAGAAATATTTGTCAAAATCACTAAAGTTAAGATTTTAGGTAAGAGAACACTTACCTAAAAGTGTTCTCTTACACAGAGCAATTGGAGCTCTGCAGGATGTGCATGTCTTCAACACTGACACCAGCATGTGGAGCTCAGTGGCATGTCCCCTGCTTTGCTCTAAACCCCGTGCAGGACACAGCATGATCAATTTACAAACTGAGCAAGTTGAAAACAGAAATATCAAGTGCACATTGCTGGTCTTTGGCGGGTCTGACTGCTCTGGTTCTTTCTACAACGACACACAAAAGTTTTGCCTGGAAATTACTGATAAATGATTATATCCATGCAGTCACAGACAACTGATGTGAAAGTTGTCTGTATACATCTGTATACATCTGATACATTTAGATGTATCAGATGGCTGATACATCTAAATGTATCAGCCATTTAGATGGCTGATACATCTAAATATCAGCCACATTAATCACATCACAGCGTTTCAGTCATTTCTCTTGGAAGATGCTTCTTATGAGTATAAAAGTAGGACCCCTGTAGGTTTGTTGACATGGAGCAAATTGTTTTTGCAAAGTTCAAAAGAGCAACATCATCATCAACAACCTTTCTACCAATGTTCCTATAACCCTACTAGCTTTTTTAGACTAAAAATATTTACAATTGCAAATTGCGCTGTCTCTAAATCAGTTTGGGAGTCCAAGGCAGAAAAACGAAGATCCCTGCTGTAGATATGGGTTAACATTTATATTTATTTAAAAAAAAGAAATGATCGAAAAAGTATTTTCTCTCACGGTTACCTAACCTCAATAATCACTTTTGTTAATGGCAGCTCTCTCCCTTATAATAACGAGCACTTGTTGCAGACTAGATCAATTTTATTGGCTCGGCTTGAACCCCAGGGTGATTATTTACTCATCGCCAAAGAAACCTATGGAGCCACCATTTTCCTAGAACCATGCACATAGACTTTATAATAATCAGAAGCAACAGTAGTAATTCCAGACTCAGAATTAATTTCAATGTCCACAATCGTCAACAAAATTTTATATATATATATTTTTTTATTAGTAGCTTTAGCAGGGTTAAGTGACAGCAGCTTATTTCAAAAGATTTACCAATTACAATTAACAATTTTTAGATATCAGATTACAACCATATTATCTATCCCTTCCTTATCCTATCACTAGATTTTCTAAGAGGCTTTGGGGAGCAGTCAGACTCATACCCAGTAGATGTAATGTTCCTTGGCAACATAAATTTTGACGTTCTTGGTCAGAATCTTGTCCTGATGAGACGAAAATCCCCTTAAAATGGAACAAAGTAAATCCGATCCTTTATATACTTCAGACTCTTAGATCAGCAACCTTTGTCCATTCACCAAGTCCATTGCAGGAGAGTTGGGGTCTTTAAGGCAGAGAGCAAGGCAGCGGTCGAATTCAGGAAACCCAGAACTGTGGGTACACGGGTCTTGTCCCTTTCAGGTGGTGCGGAGCCTTTAGCCTGTCCGTGGATTCCAGGGCGCCGTCCTTTGCTGTTAGTCCTACTGCGTCATGTTAGCTCCACTCCGACACCAGGAACAAAGAACCCTTTGCTTCCCCTTCTTAGAGTTTCATATATCTTTTGTTTACACGTATGTGTATGTGGATGGCACACGTGACAACTCAACTGTCCACATGGGTGGTTCCTACGTGACCTCTCAGCCTTTGGAAAACACCTAATACTTTACCCACTTTCACTTCTCCTGTCTTTTTCCGCTCCTCCGCTAACATCTGTTTATACTTCCTCTTTTAAACGTTTTTACTCTGTTTCTTAACAGTTAGAATGTCTCACCCAAAAAGAGTCTTTTATTGGGGCCTGCCATAGCAATGCATAGGGAGAGAAGTATGTCAGAACTACAACATGGCGGAACTGTCAGTTACTACAGAGGAAGACTTAGCTGGTATTCAGAACTACTTGAATTTTGAGTATTATATAACTGATTTAACCCAATCACTATTACACATGGGATTAGTGTGGCCATTTCAAATGAAGCTTACTGAAAATTTCAAAATAAAAGCCTTGACAATTTTTACATAATCTAATTGCTCTTTTGGCCATTAGATAACTGGTTTAACAAAACCACGGTTACACCCAGGATTAGTGTTGTAATTTCAATTGAAGCTTAATGACAATTTCAAAATAAAAGCCTCAATAATCCTCTCAAAGATAATAAAAAGATAATAAAAGCTGTGTAGCTTTTATTATCTTTTTCCCTCGAGTTACTTATAATATTAGATTAGAAGATAATAGAAGATATAATATTAAAATGTTTTCAAAATTTTGCTAGGGCTCATGGTTTTTTGTCAGGGTCCTTGAGACCAACGCTGGGTGTCTCACAAGTATAGAAACTCTGTCTCCAGCATCCTGTCTGACATATGCCCCTTTTCCACCGGCTCTACTCGGCCGGCTCGGCTCGACTCGGCTCGGCTCGCTTTGAATGCGTTTCCACCAGCCCTTTTCAACAGGGCTGGCCCTGCTTTTTAGGGTCCTGCTTCAGAGCAGGGCCAGCCGGGCCGGTTTGGTAGGTGACGTAAGCTTCGCTGCTGTTCACTGATTGGCTGAGGGCGTGGACAAGACGGAGCAGCCAAGAGAGAAGAAAAATGAAGGCGCTACATTTGAAACTCGCTGCAACACGGAAGTGATGGACGATACAAACAAGCCGTTAACTAAAAAAGATGCCGGCTTTTTCCTTTGCTTCGGATTTCAATATTCAGCAGCAGCTCGAAGGAGCCGTGAGGAATGAGTCGTTTTTGTCAGTAGTGGAGCGAATGTAAAGCCTCGTTAGCCGCTTCGGAACCGACGGAGCCGCACGGTAAACACCGACGCAGACGCAGCTGACGCCGCCGCTGCTCTCCAGCCAGGTGAGCAGTTTGTAGATATATCTGTCTGGTTTGTACTACATTTAAGGTTGCATACAAGGTTGCATACAGTCATGGAAGACATTTAAAACACAAAGTCTGCTGTATTTTTATTGCTCAAACACAACATGCGCATTTTCTGAAGACACTCGGTTGCACATTACAGTTATAAATAACTCAGTATTGTACAGCATTTTACCTTGCTTGTTTCTTATCTTTGCGTGAATCTATAAATCAGATTTAAAACCTTTTAGTTTCTGTTCAATCCAACATTCATTTATGTGTTTGATTCGGCATTCATATATAATATTATGATAACCATAATACCTAAACCCACTCTGAGTTAG